TTTAAACATTTCTTCTGTCTTCGTATTTTCGGTTGGATTGCAGAAAAGTAAACCTTGTTTGAAAATTCTCTTGTTATCTCTCAGATTTTGTAGATATTTCACCATAAGAGTTCCAGAAAAAATAAAATTTAAATTTTATGCTCATTCTTTCATCTAGAAAAGGGTAAAGTAAATATCCAAGCGATGGAAATGCTAATCTCTTTTTTGGGTGTATATAAGAAGGGGGACAATCTTGTTTTCTTTCTTGTTCCTCTTTTCTTTTTCTTTTTTGTTTCTCTCCCAATATCTAAGAATAAAGATGCTTTTTTTTTTACAATGAAATGCAGACACATTTTTAATATTTTTATTAGACATCTTTAAGGCTAAATACTTAAACATAATTTTACCTATTATTTATATGTATAATTTTGAATATTAATTTTACAAAGAGGATATACGTTATGATTAAACCAATTTATTATAGAATATACATGCAGAAGAACAGTGGCTGAAACTAAAATAAGGACAAATATGAGGATATTAGTCACCACATTAATTAATAGAATAACAATTCCTCAGAACATAATTTCAAGATTTTCCTTTAAAATAGAACACTTTGTACTTTATTTTAGAAAATCATCGATGTGATTAATTATTAAAGTTGATTTATTCACTCATTCTACAACAAATATATCAATTTCTCTATTTTTCTTCTCTCTGCGACTTCTCTCTCTTTTCTTGTTTCTTTCTCTTTCTCTGTGTGTGTGTGTGTGTGTGTGTCTCTCTGAGACTTCACGCTTTCATCAAACGAAAAAAAACTTATGCATCTTCATTTTTGATCCTAATATTTTGGTTCTGCCTGAATGTGACCTCTGCTGAACTCTTATAATATACTTTTATATAATTTTTAGGAATATAAGCGGCTAAGTATATGGAAAAGGAACATGTTGACTGATATTTAGCTTCATTTTTTGAAAACCTGTGTTATCAACAGAGAAATGAATGCTTTTTTAAATAGATATTTTCTTTTCATAAACAGATTGAGTTTGAAATTGAGAATTAAAATCTTTGATTGCCTTTCAATATTTTCTGAAACAATCAATTTTCTGAAGCTGATTTTATAAAAAATTCCAGTACGACACAAAAGAATATTCTTGCTAAAGAAGAGTGGCTTAAAGTAGTATAAGAACAAAGATGACGATATTACTCACCACACTAATTAATAGGATAACAATTCTTCAGAACAGAATTTCAATATTGTACTTTAAATTAGAAATCTTTGTACTTTATTCTAGAAAATGATAGATCTGTTTCTTCGTCAAAGAACTGCATGAATTCCTTTTTCTTATTCTTTCATACTCAATAATCACCTTTTAGAAAATCATCGATGTGATTCATCATCAAATAAATATTAATTATTAAAGTTGATTTATTCCCTCATTCTACAATAAATATATCAATTTCTCTATTTTTCTTCTCTCTGCGACTTCTCTCTTTTTCTCGCTGCGACTTTCTCTCTTTGTGTCTCTCTGTCTCTCTCTCTGTGAGACTTCACACTTTCATCAAACCGAAAATACTAATAATTGTAAATTTATGGGTTCAAAACTGCCTTTATTTAATGCAACCAAAAATGGCTTTTTTTTCTTTTAGTGTTTCCTTTATTTTAATCGTTACTCCGCATGATACTGTGTGGTAAGGGGTCAGTCCCGCCCTCAGCTGTAGATTCTAAAGATTCTCTAGCCAGGTTGATATATTCTGCAGTGATTTTTAATTTATGTATTTTCTTTTATTATTTTTTATTTTGTCAGTATAACTTTTTGGAATGTGCAACAGTCATTCTTTTCACATGATTCACCTGCCCAATTCCTTTGCAGATATGTCTACAGCTGCAGCTCCGTTTACCCCACAACCTAATAAAGGTTAGTTCCGATTCTGCCTTGTAAACATACTCTTTTTGGATGATTTCCTTTCTGCCTTTGCTCGTTTCATGTTAGAGATTGGTATGTAGACAAGAATGCAATTGATGATTGTCTTCATTGAATCAGGATCACATTTACATCACAGATTATTATTCGATCAATCCGAATCGGTTTATATTCAATTAATTAATATAATACATGTTCAACTAATTTTATTTTTCAACATATTCGAAGATAGCGGAAGAAGCCTTTCAAACGTTAAGTAAAATATTAAGAAACAGTAAAATTTCGTCAGAAAGAAAAGAGTACTGAACTATAAGTATTTTCAGGTTTATATGGTAGTGAATGTTGAACAATCTCATCACAGATGAAAAAGAGACTTGAATCAACAGAAATGTGTTTCTACAGAAGATTGCTGAGAATACCATGGACAAAACATTTGAGCAACGACGAAGAGAAAATGTAAACAAAAAGAACACTTATATTTCACATAAGGACAATTAATTGAAATTTCTAGGATACATAATGAGGAAAAAGTGTTTGGAAACGTTGGTACTCTTAGGACAGATTGAAGGCAAGAGGAACAGAGGAAACAACACAGTGTTATAACTGGTGACCTTGAGTAAATTGATGGCGGAACAAGGTTTATCAGAGGTAAAGTTTATAAGAGCTACGAAGGACAAGAAATTGTGAAAAGCCATGATCGCTAATGACCTGAACGTACATGACACATAGAAGATGCTACAATATTGCCAAGATAATTTCTACTTTTGAAGAAGCAGTGAACACTGGATTTAATGTCCACTATAATTCTGTATTATTAGAATGTTTCAGGATAGTTATCAAGAAGTATATAAATAGGCGTGTAATTAATTCTTTTCATCTCAACATATGTTTAAATAGGGACCTACTCCTAAATAACTGATAAGTAAATGTTAGTTTTATGTATAAAGGATTTTATATTCAAATACAATTGTTTAAATTTCTATTGCAAAAGATGCAATTAGATATTTCACCAATTTGCATTTAACATTTGCAATTTAGTTTATAAGACTTTGAATGTGACACTTACAAGAAAATGTCAAACAATTAATTTTACATCGTAAGAATTTAAATTCAGATTTGAACTTAAAAGGAAAAAAGTCAGTGGCAAATATAACTTTCGTTCGAAGATCATAATTGAGAAAATTGGAAAGTTATCCTAGTGGTAATTTGAAAGTTTATCTTGATGATAATTTGGAAAGTTATCCTGATGGTAAATCGTTGTGGTGACAAAGGAAAAAAAAAAACTCTTACTTCTAAAAAAGATTTCTGTTCTCTGTCGAAAAAGAAAATCGGAAAAATAAAGTTCGCCTCGAAATACAGTAATTGTTTGTGCTTCCCAACCAGTTTCGGCCAATGACAATCTTTCTTAACCCGAATATAAGTTGGATCACTGGAATCTTAGTTCTTCTTGAAGAAAGAAGGTAGTTGTGTAAATTTTGGATACAGATTTTTGAGCCCTGACAGGTTTAACTCTAGACATGTGAGACTCATTTATGACCCTTTGAATTACAACCCCGGATTTTTTATTATCTGAAACCACTATTTCTCTTGTTTCCAATAATGGCAAAATAGATTTACTTTTCTCTTCAATCGACATTTTAAAAGTGTTTACTTTATATTTGAAGAAAGGACCGAATTATAAACAATATTAGCTTAAACTATATAGGTTTTTTTATTTCTTCTCTCAGTTAATTTGATTGATTTGTTTCTGGCGGCTTATCAACCTTTATGAGGTTATTTACAAGTCTTAATATTTAGCAAATTGAAGAAAAAGAAGTGGATTCATACCCTTTCCAAAGGTATTTGTACGTAAGTGAGTATTACAAACCAGATAGGAATTCAAACTCGATTTCTCATTCCGAGCCTCTATCCATCACACCAATCATACATCCAAGCTTACAGCTCCATTGTATTTCCCAGTGGTCACCTATCCACGTACTGACCAGGTTTAACGTTGCTTAACTTCGATGATCGAGCGAGAACCGGTGTTTCAACTTGATATAACCGTAAGCCTTTCTTAATTGAAAAAAAAAATGATATAATGAAAAAGTGAAAAGGTCTTGGCCTAATCAAAAGGATATTTTAAAACACACACACAAATCTCCATATATATATATACATACACACACAATTATCAATACACACACATACACAAACATACAAATCTCCGTACATACATGCATGCAATATATAGACAGAATATTTGTTTGTGACTTAGTATTTACATGTCAGCGTGCGTGTTTGTTTCTCTGACTGTTTGTGTCTGTAACACTTTTTTTGTATGTCTCTGTCTGTGCCTATGTACCTGTCTCTGCGTGTTTCTGTCTCTGGATGTGTGTTTGTATCAGAATGTCTCACCGTGTACATTTGTGTGTTTGTGTGAGTTTACGTCTCTGTCCTCTTTTTTCACTTCTGTGTTTTTTGTCTTTGCTGATTTGCTCTTTCCTTTACATTACAGGTGCAGCTGTAACATTGAAAATGCCATCATACACGACTTTGAACACAGTGAACATGAGAATAACATGTGAATTTCCAAATGATGATTACCTTGCGATGATAACATTGCTCAGTGGGAATAAAGCCACTGAGGCAAATTACGTAGTTGCAAGTGATAAGTTTGAAATAAATTCCGATACTTTTGTCTCTCTAGAGGTCAACTCTGACGGATCTGCGCAAAAACGTTCTGTGACATTTGTCCTTTTTCTCAAGTCAACTGCCATGATTTTTACATGGTACGTGTGTCGTGGGATTGAAGGTAAAATGGTCTTTCCTGTAGATTCTAAGAACATCACATTACAAGGTACGAATCAAAATATTTCTGTAAAAATAGAATTTTGGTTTGAAAGTGAAAATATTAAAATGAAAATGAGAATGGTGGAATGTAAATTAGCATTTGGCAAACAGTTTAAATATGAAAATGCTGCTGCTCAGACAAATGATATTTTTGTAGATATTACATGTTAAATGTTTCGTATTAGCAAAAGTAATATTACGTGAGGAAATATAATTAACTGGATAAGATTTTATTAAAATAATTAAAATTACTTTCTTTGTTTCCTTTTCAGCTTTGCCAGCAATTGCTAACCTCATGAAGACATCATCTGAGCAAGTTCCCAATCAGATATCTACTTTTACGTGCAGAGGAACCATTCAAAAAGAAGGTCCTTTTTCTGTGAAATGGTATCGAAAAAGTCTCACAGGTTTCAGCCAGCTTCATGATGACCAAGCAAAAATAATTGACCAAAATGAATGCAACCGTAGTATTATAAGCTCAATGAATTACAATATAAGCAAAACTGATGGACCGAACCTTGTCCTCTCTTGCCGAATAGAAAGTGAAAAAACCACCATTCATAAAATGAAAAAATTTACTGTTCAGGGTAAAGCCTTTTTTTTTTTTTTAATTTCTGTGTGTAGATGGGTGGGAATCCGATTTCAGATTCAAATCAACATTTAAATTTGAATCTTAACTACAAACAAGAAAATCTGAACCTTTCATTTAATCTTTTTAATCTTTATTTTTAATTTTGTCATTTCCGTCTTATTTATATACCGGGTCCCGTCAGGAAGTAAGCCATCATGGACCTCCACAAATTCCTCTGCTTTGTAGCTCTTAATAAACTCTGTTTTTCTTTTATTTCTCCTAAACGTTGTTCCGCCATCTATTTGCTCAAACTCCTTAAATATGTTATGCGTTGTTTTCCTCTGCCCTTCTTGCCTTCAAAATGTCTTGTGAGTATCAAATTTCCCAAGTCCACTTTCCTCATTATGTGCCATAAAATTCAGTTGTTTCTTCCTGATGTTAAGTATATGTTTTCATTTTCTTTCAAAATTATTTACTGATACATTTGGTCCATGTTATCCTCGGCATACTTCTGTAGAATTACATTTCTGTTGCTTCAAGTTTCTTCTTCCGCTTTGAGAAGATTCTCCAGTATTCACTGCCATACTGGGGGACTGATATCCCGTAACAGTTCAGTATACTTTCCTTTGTATCTGACAAAGTTTTTCTCTTTCTTAATACTCTATTTATCTTTTGGAATGCATCTTTGGTTATCCCAATGCGCCTTCGGATTTCAGTGTTGAACTTTCCGTCCTCTGTTAAAACATTTCCCAGATATTTAAATATTTGTAAACGTTTGATTTTGGTATCTCCGATTTGTAATTTGCATTTAAGACCCCACCCTTTTGCTAGCAACCATGCATTCTGAATTTTTGCAGTTAATATTTTAACCTTTCTTCTCGCTTTTCTTCACTAAAAATGTTCGTTTTCGAAGACTGATAACGTATTAAATATAAGTTTAACTTACTGATTTAACGAAATGTAGTAATTTAATCCTTGGTTTTTATATTGATTTTATAAATTTTGTTCTTGACTTTTTATGCTTGTGATTAGCAAATAAGTCTAATATTTTAGAATTGTGACTGGATAATATATTGCAGAAATGCTGGACACCTGTGAGTAACAGTGAATCACGAAAAAACAGTGTGTTTATCCTTAACTATCCATGGCGGAACTAACTCTAACTGCTTGTAGACGCAGATACTACGCTTTGTTGAAATATGACTGAAATTTGTTGTTCCTAAAGTTTATAATTTTTATTCAGGTTTCCTTCGAAGTTGAGGCGCTTTAGTGGTTTCAATCTCATTTTGTTTTTGCTTTTAATTCTAGTTTACTCTTCTGATGTGTGGATCCGTTCTTAATGGCGTATTTTCAAACACGGAATTTTTTTCCAGGTGGAGCTGTTTCACCCATTTTTTTTTCTTTCTTGGGAGGTTTCTGGGCGGGTTACGTTATTCTGACACTATGTTAATGTATTACCCAGCTGAACAACTCTGAGTAATAGTGAATGACGAAACAAAACAAATAGTAAAAAAAACAAAACGTGACTGACTGCTGGTAGCCGCAGGTACTACACTTTATGATTGGTTAATATAAATATTTAAAAGGGAATTAACTCTGTATTTATTAATACGTTACATCTATCTCAAGATATGAGAATTATAATGTTCATTATTGACAGATAAAAACATTTACATAGTGGTTCATACGAGATATGATGTATTAACAATGACAGTGGGAGAGTATCCCCATGCTCCTTGAGCTGGCGTTATTCCGACCATTATTAAATTTCTCTTCTGTATCTGATGGGTTTGTTTATAATGCGATCACTTCTGACTGGATGCTAGTAGACTGAGGCATTACGCTTCATAAAAATGTGATTGGTTTCTGTAAATAATTACAAGGGAATTAACTCTGTATTTGCTAACACGTCACAGGTTCAAAGACTAACTGACCTAGGCCATCTCTCAACTTCCAACCAATATGCCTCTAACTGGAATTCAGGACCAAACCAGATGCCGAGTATCTGGCATAACCAATCCATCTAAATGAAGTCCTCTTCTTCAAGATCAGCACCTGAAAAGGGATAAACACATGTTTTTAGGGATACAACGGGAATATAATGTCCTTGAAGTTTTTTTTATAAAAGATAAGGAATCTCACGTCATTATGGATTATGCACCCAACGATAGCAGAGATTGGTTTAGCTTCATTTGACAGATCAAATCACTTATTGACTAGTTTTAGTGGGTTGTCTTAGATTAGAATGTTGTCTTTAAGTCCAATATAGATTCCGCAGGGCATTGATTGGGTAAAAAGTGTAGAGTAATTGGTCATGGTTAAGTAAAATTGGCAAAAAATGTCCAACAAATGGAAATGAAAATGTTTCCAATAAACAAAAACAAAAGAAAGGAAAAGAACCGAGCAAAATTATGGGATGGTCAAAATTATACTCAGAAAAAAATAATTCAAGACAAAAGTAAGCAACAGTAATAAGGTAAAAAATTCACAAAGAATGGTGTTAGCGCTCAAAAGGGGAATTGTGATATTCTGGTTTCAAGACAAATTTATAGACAGTTTGAATAAGAAAACAAATTTATTTTTTCCCTCTTTCATAGAAATTATTTTTTACCGAATTTAACTTATAATAAGGCTATAAATGTGGGGGTCACATAGTGATGATTGAACTCAATTTAGTAGTAATGGTGTGTGGTACGAACTAGATCACTATTTGCTGCTTTTTTTTCCAGCCATTAAATATCACTCAACCGCTTGGGATTGATATTGATAACTTTAAACTAAGCTAAACTCCATTGTTGCTTCTACACGAAAATGGATCTTATTTAAGTGAAATGCTTTGGACCATTGTTTCATATAAAAAAATAATTCATTGTGAACGGATTTGCAGAAAACGATAATCCAATTAACAAAATCAGTTCTATTCTTGTACATATATACCATACGTAAGTAGCATATCAGTAGTGAAACAGGGAGTTCATTTGATGGGCTGAGTCCAAATTCCTTGCTAACCTATTGCATTCACTTTCGCACAAATTCTGTTTATTTCCATGGCCATGGGTTAAATTGCTGGATAAACTGTGACTCTACCATTGGGTGGAAGCCAGTCTAAGTGAAGAGTTACTCTGAATTGGAAACTGTGGAAAAGGCAGTGGTGAAACCACTTCATTATCTGAAGAAAGCGTGAAAATTCAAACATAAAGAAAAGGAATATGTAGAGAGCCATGACTACCCATGTCCTGAAAGGTCATGTAATTAACAAGAAATAAATACCTATTTCTAGTCAGTAATGTTCTTTTTAATGGGAATCCATTGTATATCAATTTATCAGTTAATTTTTAATTATCGATTAACATCTCCGTTGCTCCAAATTTACGCATTTGTTTCCTTTGTTCGCTTGAATCAAACCATTTCGAGACTGCTGGTTTGATCCCCAGGTTGCTACTATCATACCAGGCCACCACTGTTGGTGTACCCTCTTATTCGCTTTTCGAGGGTCCGAAAGTAGCCACCACTGCACATCAAAAACCAGTGATTTTGTTTATCGGGACATCGTCATTAGGTGGACTCTTATCCATGACTCAAAAAGATTCCACCAACGCTCATCAAGAGATGTTATCCCGCTCCAGATGATACTTTAACCTTCGCT